AAAAGTAGATTGAAAATACGTAGCAGAATATGTAAGCCACATTTATATGGAGGTGATCCAGTTGCTTAATGCGCGTAAGGTTACCTACTAAATTATTTGCAAAAATATAGAGACTGGAATTACATAGGGGAGGACTATTCTACTAAGGTATATCTGTCTTCAGATATAACTTGGTAGAATAGTCCTCTCCGATATAATTTTAGTCTCTATATTTTTGCAAATAATTTAGTAGGTAACCTTACGCGCATTAAGCAACTGGATCACCTCCATATAAATGTGGCTTACATATTCTGCTACGTATTTTCAATCTACTTTTTATTATTACTTTTATTTTTTGCGACTTAAGCAATATACGAGATTAACTTGTTTTATGCGTAAGCTCTTGAGCCTACTTTTATAATAAAAATTGAGTGGACTGAAAATAGAAGAGCTTATTAAGAAAATAAATATCTGAAACTCTGGCTGAATAAATTGGTTCATTTTAGGTTTTTGTTAAAATTATTATTGATATTCATATATTTGGAACGAGAAAGACTTTTCAAAGCCATCAGAAGAATAGAATCAAATGCAATCCTAATAATATTTATGAACGATATCTATTGGAATCTGATAAATAATTGAGACTAAGGTAAACGGCAAACCGATGTTTAAGTACTTTCTGCTATTAAATTTGTTATTTCAATTACAAAAGCCCCCCATTAGACAGCGGTATGTCTGCGGACTTACACCGCTAGAAACCGGGTTTCGATACCCGTGGTGAGCAGTGCACGGATAGCCCATTGTGTAGCTTTGTGCTTAACTTCAAATAAACAAACAAACACAATCAATTACAAAATGTTAGTGCAGTCCCTTGCACGAATTCAATGGCGCTGATGAACATGTTTCTCCCTGCTAGCTAGCTCGTAGACCAGTGACTAATTTAAGCTGTGAAGAAAAGAAGATAAAGCGAACATGTGTCACGTAACTGGCATGAGTATGACCTCACTCCTGGGGTTATTGGAATAAAAGGATTGGCAACAGAAATAGAAAGGGTCAATAACATTCGAAAACTGTCATTTGATCGAGAGTTTAATAAACTATGTGTCATTTGAACCTTGTGTGGCCTAGTGCTTAAGTGTGACCGGTCTGTGAGTCCCGTTGCTGCTAAAAGTCGTTTTTCACTTTGAGACAGTAGGTGCGTTGTAAGAGTAACGATCAAATCCCATTATATTTGATCAGACGAAAGTAGCCCAAGAGTTACAAGTGGATGCTTTTGACTAGCTGTCTTCCTTCTGGTTTATCAATTAAAAATTAGGGACGGCGGATAGTCTGAAGTGAACAAACTAATGTTCTTGTCGTAGGTTACTAAGCGAATAACTCTAGTTGATTGCAGATTCAATGTAATGTAGTAGATCTTTTAGCACGGCCTGAGAAAATAAGTCTCAATGAAATCAATCATCTGTGTTGCCTTAATGTTCTAACGCATTCGTCTTAACCCATAGCTATCTAACTACAACCAATGTTATTGTAATCAGACTATCCCATATTAAGTCACGTTATGTGTTTGTGAGTTTCTTTCTTTATCTACGAACTCCTTACACAGCCACATGTGGCAGGCGAACTCGAGGTAGCCTGAGAGGTGTCCTTTTCTATATAACGTAGCTCCCTATCAAGGGGGATTTAAACGTGTCTGGAAGATCACATAGGCATGATGGGGATCAAAAAGTAGGTTTGCTAAGTCATCGAACTCGTATCTGGCATTGAATTTTGTGTTTCTGCTCCTCATGGGGAACTCAGGGGCGTCTTGTTATAAACTGTATCCATACCCCACGCAAAAGCTAAAGGGACCTAACGTGGTGCACGTGCTCAAGTACCACAGGGGGTGTCTTAATGGGGTTTGTTTTCAGGTACCGACTGCCCTTTGGATAGCTGCAGAAGTAATTGGGGATAATTGATGAGCTGATCTGCATATTGGGAACATTGTGGATCTTGATGGGGTCTCTGAATTCCTCAACGGAACGAGGTTTTTTACGTTAGTAAGTTTCAATAATATTTTTTCCTCCCTGTAAAATGGTTGTGTTAAAGACATTTAAATTATGTTTTAATACAAAAAACAACAAATAATTTTTCTACCATTCGAAATGGGTTTAGGTAGTGTGTTCGACATGTGTACTGTACTTTTTTATTTTTACTTTTGACCTGATAAAGGACTCAGTGTGGATCCTGAAAATATATTCCTAAAACAGAAGTCCATAAAGTACATCCACAATATCTATTTTTTATGAATAATTGAAACACTACATGCTATACTTGGAAACCCATATTACCTCGTTAGAAACTAAAACAAATCAATAGCGATTTTGAACGCTCTGATGTGTGATTGAACATCTATTAGCAAACATGTATATAGGGCATGTTATACAGCATTCAAGTTTGTGCTAACGGTATTACTATGTAAACACACAAAAGCATGCACTGAATTTCTAATAATAACGTTCACACAAAGTGAACTAGAAATACCTGTTACATTACTGTGAATGACTGCTTATCAGTGATTTTTTCTGTGTTGTATTTCATCAGTTGAACACCCATTCATTCCCTCGACAAACGAACCGAAGAATTATCCATTCTACCTTGCAAGCTAGACAGTTCCTCTACTTATCCTTTCTCCTGTTTATCAATTTACCTCTCTATTACCTCTATTATCTGTCTATCGTTGGTAAACGGAAGAGTTCTTTAACTCATTCTGTCTCTCATCTCGGATTGTGGATTCAAATCTTCATGAGTGTGATGAGTAACCCTCCGAACACAAACCGAAACGATCTGTTTTCGATGGGAACGTGAGCCTCAGAGTCAGCGTTATTAATAAGTGGGAACCTGGGCTTTAGCTGTCAATGGAGAAAACATTAGCAGGGTCTTATCAGTTTTCAATTTACCACAATCCGTATGGCGGAGTAAGAGTAGAATGCTGGCTTGAGTAATCAATCCGTGCTTCCCTATAAAGCAGGAGGTGCCTGCTACATTCAGGAATCACTATACTCTTGTCTACTTACCTGTCTGTAACCGCATCTGTCTATAAAAGTTCATTTTAAAAGCTTCACATTCCATACTCGAGTGTTACATATTTAAATAATTTAAACCAGTGTTTCTGAACCACAGGTCCGCAGGCCTGCACCAGTCCGTCACAACCACCTTGCCGATCCGTGGGATTTCACGAAAACAAACTAAAAACGACAGAATATTCAATATAAATCTCAACAGTTTTTCGTTGCACTTATATTTTAGTTGTTTCTGGCATCAAAAAAGTTGAGAAACGCTAACTTACATGATTCGAGTTATTCCACATTTCACGGCTCTATGTATTTATATTTAAACATTTCTTTGGCAGTTAAACAACAACGAAAATCTCAACACCACTCAGTTCAAGGATTCCGAGTGCAATAAATCATAACAACAATGACATTAGCACTAAAGTCATTCTGGTCGATGCACCAACGTAATTAAACTGACTAAAATGGACTACTCGTAAAAGAAATAAAAAGTAAAACTAGTGCTTCGTGATGTTTACTTTTATTGATATTTATAATTTAAACATAACTTAATTTTGATTCAACTTTGTTTATTAAGTTTCTTCGATAGATAGTAAGCATGAATGATGGAACAATAACAGGGAAGTTTTTAGTAGGCCTGAATGATGGAACAATAACAGGGAAGTTTTTAGTAGGCCTGAATGATGGAACAACAACAGGGAATTCTTAGATCGGAGAGAGAGTGTGTGGTAACATGATGATTGTTTACGAGACAAGGTTTTGGTGTTGGATCTACGTGATTTAATAAAGAAAACTCTAAGCGATAATGGATCTACGTGTTTTAATAAAGAAAACACTGAATGATAATGGATCTACGTGTTTTTCTAAACAAAACACTAAGTGATAATGGATCAATGTGTTTTTTCTAAA